TCAAAAAAGGAAAAATTAAATAGTATGTTAAACACACCAATAACAATAATATAAAAATTCAATGTTATATATCGATTTTGACAAAGTTAAATGTATTGGAATGTAGTAAAAGTTTCTTCGAAGAACAGTATAAATATACAACAAGTACAAGTAAAAATATTCGTATGCATATAACATACATACAAAATTAAGTATTTTATTCAGTATAGTTATATATTACATAAATATAGCCACGATTATATCATATTATTGAATATAGTAATTATTAACTATACTGAGGTATACTTAACTGCAACCCTCTCGTTAACGTAATCAGAGAACGAACCCTCAGCTAATATCTACATACTACAATTCCTGTCGGAACATGAAATCTCGAGTCTTCAACAAAAGAAATACTATGGTGTATTAAACACGACAATAACATAACATTCTGAGAAATTGCCGTTTAATCCCCGAAGAAATTCCATGTCGCAGTATTTCCAATTAAACGGTCCATAAAGTAGCTGTGGCAAATCCTGAAACGTCTCCCGTGAAGAAGGTACCGTGCAAACGATACCAATGCAAACTCGTCCCCGTTTTATTTCCGAAGAGCCTACTGAAGCGTAACCCGAAGATCTGAGCGGAGACGACGGCGATATCTAAAGATTCGTCTTCGATGGTTCGTAGTTGTGTTGCCGGGGGTTGGGAACGCGGCGAAGGGGGTGGCGGAGGGCAGTTGAAACTGCAGGTTGGCACGGTAGGGGAAGGGGGTAGCGGCGGAGGCGGATAGGGGCGTCACGAGCGATGCCGGTAACCGGCGGTGAGGGTAAAAGGGAGGGGGTCGACACAGGGGTCGAAGCTTCCAGTCTGCAGAGGGTGCACCCCCCACCCGCTAGAGGGTGGGTGGTACCCAGTCCTCGAACTGATCAATACCTGAAACACCGCGAGGTATCGTCCCGCTATTTCCGGTGTCCCAACGTGGCCGGAAATGAAGGCGTTAAAAATATATAGAGAGACGTGTATAGTATATAGATATATATGTAGACATAGAGGACAGAGTCTACCAGGGCAGATAGTAGCGGCGTAATATCTTCTCCGGCAACTGTTTGGTATAGCTGGCCTCAATAGCGAGTTTGCAGGATGAATTTTTGTTGTCTAGATGGGCAGTGCCTTTCCGATATGACGGTAGCCGCGGTTTTGTCAAGAGAGAGAGAGCGAATGGAATTCGCAGACTTCTAATACTGTTTCTGAACGGGTGATAGAAAGAAATTCTTGAAAATGGGAAGCAAGAAGAGTTACTGCTCGAGATCTTTAAATCGTTATTCTGTACTTAAAACTTAATATAATGACTTTGTAAATACATTTGTTCCCTGCAAATATTAGAACAAAGAAATAGTTAACAAATATATGTAAAACTTGCAACTGACGCGTCAATATCCATTTTTAAACGATTCTTCAGAAATTGAAATAATTGAAACATTTATATCAAATCTGTTGTATTTACTCCATTTATTTCGATTTAATTGAAATTGCCAAATTCTAATATTTTAACTAAGAAATATATAAAATTTTAAATTTTTGTGTGGATTATCATTTTGGAATTGCATCCTTGGATAGATGTCATACTCGCTTTAATACCACTTTATGTTCTGGATGCAAGAGAACGACTTTTAAATTATAACTATTCGCTGCACTATCCAGCAACTGTGCCTTGAAATTAGAAATGGGAAATCGATACAGGCTTGATAATCAAACCCACACAGAAACCATTGTATAACCATCATCGTGATGCAAAATAGATACTCTTCGTTCCATAACCCGACATTTAAATTTTGTTACTCGGTGAACGCACACCGTTGTTTTAATAACGTAATGTTCAACGTAAGATGATTAAAAGCTTATTGCTTTAACTCTGCTGGTTCTCTTACTTCTCCTTCACGTTTGTGTCTTCTCAGATATCTTTCTTCTATGGAATACTGATTCGTAGGAAATATAAAATACGCAAAAGTGAATGAAATTGTATCATAACGGTGAAACTGAATATTTCGAAACTATCTGTAGTATAATAATATTTATTGAAATGTAACATGTATTGTCATATAGGCCATAAAAGAATAATTAATTCATTTGCATCACGACTTAAATTACACTGATGAAACTAAACATCCTGATTAAAACTTACCACTTTTGATTACTAACTGATTGTAATAAAATATCAGAGTATATAAATAATTATGTAGTGTAGGTATCTACTGTAGTATAAAATTCTTAATCACTATCTGAAGATTACTTTGCATTTGGTGATACAAAGCAAATATTATTCGTGGAATAGATAAGGAAATATTAACATTAGAACGCGACGATTGAAATATAAAATTCATATCAAAAAAATTAGGGTACAAGGAGAAGTTTACAGTGCAAGGAAAAATGCAAGTTCTTATTTATATATTCTACGAAAAATGATTCAAATTTTTAAAAATTACCAATTGGTCATTTTAATCACTCGAACTTTTAGAATTCCCTTTCATAGCATCAATGTTAAAAAAAGATATGATCAATGTGACGAATTTTATATCTTCTTTTTTTACAATTACGATTTTCGTTCAACAAATACGTGGTTGTATAGCTCTTTCTGTTTGAATCAGGGTTGATCATTTAAATTGTAATGATTTACATATAAAAGTTCGTAATAGTCGTATTAAGTCGAGTTCGTGTTTGAAATTCGCTGGAATCTAATTGAGATGAGCCAGAAGAGGAGCAAGTTGCAGGAATGCGAAAAACTTTGCGCGATCTTCAGGTTGGAGGGCGTGACCAGACGTCGAGCGTGCAACTCCGGATTTGTAAAATCTCGACGAAGGGGTTGGTTTAGTGTATCAACAGGTAGAAATGTAGCGTATCCTTGTCCCTACTAGGATAAGCCGTCGGCTAAGCGCCGGCGCTGGCTAAACCGCTCGCACCCTCTCGAGGGTGTGACCTATCATCCCCATTGGACCAACCGGACGTGTGAAAAAGAGAGAGAGAGACACGGTTCTGCGTTGGTCCTGCGCGGATAACATATTTTTTTAAATCTGTCAACACGAAGAGCGAAGTCTTTATCGCTGTCTTGTCGCTCGCTAGATAATGCTAAATAAATTCTTATCGCTCGTGCGGTATATTGTACATGCTTGATAAATAACAAGCGTTTTGTAAAATGACTTGTAATCGCACATATAAGTTTGTTACATTACATTGTAATCTCATCGAATTCTTTGCGATTCATCCTCATTTACGAAGTATTACACAGAAGTATTCATTGTTCATTTTGAGCGATTAATGTCGCTTTATTATATAATTTTTTTATTTCAATGACAATTCACGTGGAGATAATGAAGCATAATCGATTAGCATGCTCATTAGCATGCTTTTGAAATTTGTAAGAGGATATGAATCGTTCAAAGTACGATGTGGAAAAATGACACGAATAACGTTGTAATTGCCTTACTATATTTTAGCACTGCAATCACGGATATGTAATATGTGAATAAAATGTTTGAGTGAGATTAGAATTATTCTGTGTAAAAGATGAAATTGAGCGACAATATCGCGAACTAATAATTAATAGAAAAATAAAAAAATACTAATTATAAAAACTGATAATTAATAAAAAAGAATAACAATACTAATCGAGTGTTGGAATGACATTTATTAACTGATACTAACTAAGACAAAACTGTAGAATTAGAATTTACAAATACAAACGAAAAATTAGAAATACAATTACAAAAAATGAAAGCAATTTTTGTACTTTCGTCTGTTAAATATCTCATGATGTCTATCGCATGCTTGTTATTGATGTGTTGATGATGGTTATCGACATAATTCCAGGCTACAGTTAATCCAGTCAAGAGGGAACCTTAAATGCCACCCTGTTAGATTGAAGAAACGATGAAAAAATAGAAAAAGGTTATGATATAGCGACAGTAGGAGGGGGAAAGGGGAAAATATCCGCATGGGTCAGCCGAAAGAGACTTAGACTGTGGAGATGGCCGCCTCAATATCGGCTTTTCAGATGCTTCAGTACTTATCTAATGTCTTACATTTTCCAGTGGACTGCCCATTCAAATTTCGACTTATATATTTCATATGTAACATATTTTTTTATATTCAATATATTCAATATCTTTATATTTTATATTCTATTCCATATGTATATCTTATCACGTATACCATACATATATATACTTTTGTAGTATAAAATATTTATACATATATCTCTAAAACATTTTTCCACACTTTAGCTTCATTAATACTTGTTTATTATAGTACTATAACTAGTCAAAGTCATCGTCACTATCAACAATTAACTTTTTTTGAATATTGTATTTCCTAATACCAACTGGAAGTTTGGATATATTATACTGTATTTGTGTTTCAAATTTAATATTATACGATAGATAGACTTTATCATTTAATTGAATCATTCCATAAGTAACGTAATTTTTTACGAACTCAATTTAAAATGATAGGAATTGTTGCCATTAAAAGTTTTAAAATATTAAAGAAAATAGTTGAATAGAGAAAGATAAGAACGATATAAAAATATTGTGCTGCTAGTAGATTATTTTTCATTTTTATTTAATATATTCTTAAAAAATTTTCCATGTTATTAACCTTATTATTATTTGTTTACTATTAAACAGTAATTTATACATTATATCATAATAAAATGTATATATAAATTTATATATATTAAAACATTTTCTATTACAATTTTTTTTGAAATATTAAATATTTTATACTTATTAATCTCCAAATATTAACACATCGGATAATTTGATTCGCCGCATGTAAATTCAATATATATACTACGATGTATCGTAACATTTTGGGCGGATAACAGGTGCATTTGCCAATATATACTTCAATCTTTTTTACTATCACTGGAAATAATGTGTTCTCCACGCCTCATCGTGCGCACGAGTTATCTTACAGAGATATCATGTGGCATATCCCACGTTACTTATCAAAGATAAGTTCTCAGTAGTTTTCAGGTCGGTTCCGGGTACTGTTGGGCCATTTTCTTACGTTGAAACTTCACGAAAAGGAAACGCGAAAGTGAAAATGACCGATCAGAAATTATAATGTGATCGTGAAATTCTCGCGACGTTTTCGTTAACAAAAGTGTGAAACTTCACAAAGTGAAAATGTGATTTCTATGGATGTTCATGCGATCGCGTACGATAGCAGAGAATATGAAATACCGGATAATGACGCCTCGTGATTTACTCTGTTTGTTGGCCACCTACTTAGGAATTTTCTCGATCGCGCTATGCCAAAGTACTTGTCCAACAAGGTGCCTCTGCTACCTCAGCCAACTACCAAGGACTATCACGTGTTCGAAGCAAGGGTTGGAAGTGTTTCCTGAAAATATAAGCGACGTGGTGGGTGAATCTCTTCTGTGAAATCAAACCAGTAATGAGTTCTTCGTCGTAGCGTTGGAATTTCTAACAGATACGCACGAGTATTAAAGAAATGGCGATATAACAGACATTTTCTTCGCTTTATCGCATGGATCATTCTAGTTGTGGAAATGAGTCATTAATACTTACTAATATATCGACGGAGAACGAAAGAAATGCTTGAGTATCTTTGAGTATCTGAGAAAGAAATCTTTGTGATCGTGGTACAAGCGACTGAAAATGATTCTATGTGCGAAAATAGGTCAAGAAGAAAGAATGACATTTTTATTTTCTGTTTGAGACACTTCACTTTCGAGAAAATTGTGTCTGAAAGTTTGTCAAGTATACTTGAATTTGATTGATTCCAAAGGAGACAAGAATTAATAATCGACAGAATTACTCTGCATACAATAAAATTTTTTAGTTTAAAGTCTGATTTTTAAAAAGAATACATGTAAAAAGAAGTTAAAAATTTCTTTGGTACTAATTGATAAATTTTCAAATTTAATTTTCTCACAAACGAAACTTATTTACATACATAGAATAATCTTCTATCGATTACTCATTCTCATCTAGTCTGGAATTAAGTAAATTCAAGTACATACGTAATAAATTTTTAAATTCAATTTTCTGAAAGATTTTTTCTTGTATAAAAAAAATCTCATTCTTTTTACTCAATTCATCGCAAAAATACCTTGTATTTATCAAAATATATATGCATGTATCAAAATTTTTAACTCGAATCTTTAAATCAATTTTTGCTTAATATGTCACGTTGAATTGCATTTTCATGCTACGAATTTTCATGCACTTATGGAAAATTTGAGGATGTAAAAATACAAAAAATGCATAAAATATATAAAAATATATAAAACATCAAAAGTAAATTTAGTAGCGAAAACAAATTTCCATTTTAGACTTCGTTCTTATGATGGTATTCATAAAAATACATGCAATGCATAAAAGCACATACAATGAATTTCAATCTTATAAGTGCACTGCGATTTTTTATGCATTTATTAGTTGCAAAAATACACAGAATATACATGATATGTGAAATTATATAAAATATGCGAAGTTTAGCCTACATATTATGACATTTAGTAGGTAAAACATCTCTATTTATTTGTCTTTAGAAAAATACGAACTTCTACATTTTTTTTGTATTTATAGGAAATATTAAAATGCAAAATTTCACAAAATGCACGTTATGTAAAAAGATATAAACTGTATCCAAACTATAATGTTTCTATAATTGGTATATAAAACAATCGGGAGTCTATTTTTTTCATTATATTCTCAAAAAATTTGCATAAAAATCCGCAGTCTATTTAAAAAGTAATTTTGTACAAATTACAAGAGTGTGCATTAATCGACAACATTTTAAATTTATGAACATTTTTCTATTTAATTTAAGGCGATTGTTAACTTAATTATGTTGTAGGTACAGGAATTAAATTTATCTAACAACCTGTTAACGAATATCACTGATGACATTAATCGATTGATAGATTTACGAATCTTGAAACTAGCAAGAAATAAATTAACTTCGTTACCTGAGGATTTAAGTTCTTTAAACAGCTTGCGAACATTGGATTTGACTGCCAACAATATAAAACACATCGTTGATATTAGGTCTATAGTACAGCTACCATCATTGATGGTTCTATATTTATCCAAAAATCCACTATCTAAATTGGAAGGGTTAATGAGTGCCAGCATTAGAGCTTTGGATGCTAGTCATTGTGGTACAATTATATTTCACTAATTACATTACTATTTTAATAATCAATTTGTTACAAACTATATATTCTTCATCTAAAAATTAATATCATCATCTAAATATAATATAAACATGAATCTTTCAAGGTTTTTATTTTAAATAAATGTTCAAACGTAATGAATCTTAAAATTTAAATTTCAGTTCCTAATAAATTCTTTAATTTAAATTCTTAATCTATATTTTATTTATTCTACGTACTTAATCTATATTTAATTTTAAAATATTCTATAACTTAAATTTAAATTTTGAAATTACTTAAAGTCTTTTTTAAAATTCAGTATATTTATTTGTTTACTTCTTTACCTGAAAGTAGAATAAAAAAAGGTAATAAATGAATATATCTACTCTGTGATCACCTGGCTTCTTTTTAATATATTTTCATTTAACAGAAATACGGGAACTCACTAATACATCTTTGGATGGCCTACCAGAATTGACTATGCTTACCTTAATGGGAAACCCATTGAAAGACATTAACAAAACCTGGAGTCCAAAATTAGAGTGGCTCGACATGTCTGACTGCCTTTTAAATTATTTAAGGCCTGATACTTTCAATGGATTTCCAGCGCTTGAAGAGCTTCGACTGTCCAACAATCCTACTTTAGTCTACAGTACGAGGCAAGCAATCGAAATTCTAAGCAGAAAAATTATTCCTTAGAGTAATTAATTGTAATAAAAGAAATATCCAAAACAACAAATAAAGATAATCGTCTTGCATGTTATAATCATAAGCAGTAAAATTATATCTTTCTTTGCAATTCTTATTTATTAAATTAAATCTATATTATCGTATATATCCATGGTTATCTTAAATTGTTTTTTGTTTTTTGTGCAAATTTAGAAGATGTTAGAAATATATTTATATATTATGTAATGTTAGAGAGGAATAAGTTATTGTAAAGAAGAATCATTAAATACTTAAGGAAAATTATTTTCGGGTAATTAAATTTATACATATGACAGTAGTTTAATTTTAATTTTAACAAATTTGACGAAATTAAAGAAATTTGATAATTTCCTACTTGAGCTATATTGTTCCGTAGATAAACAAGCATTAGATCTTTTTCATTTAATACTAACTAAAACTAGATACTAAATTTAAAAAGATACTACATATGACTGATTTATAAAAAAATAACAGTTAAAAACAAGAAATAGTGAATACTATAACAAAAATTTGTTCTGTAAAAACAGAAAATAATAAAAATTAGTATTTTGGTATTAAAATTTTTACAAAATCTACATTTATTGTATAATCTATTATTTTATATTTATAACGTTTGAGAATCGAAAATCATCAACAGGTTAAATATTTAATTTATTAAATATTTCTTATTGGATATAATTTTATTTATGTATTTAGTTATTATAATATATGTCATATTATTTAAATTTTCATATATATATATATATATATATATATACACATTAATATTTAATTGGTAACATTTCACAATATTTCAGAAACTCAACATTGACACACTCAAAACTGAAAACGCTTGACGTGTCAAAATGTAATTTGGATAGACCTGGTCTCCACGGACTACCCTCGCTGACTCAGGCTCGATTATCCCGCAATATGATCCATATGTTGCCAGATCGAATTTTCGCCAAAAATAGAGAGCTCGGTTTCCTATATTTAAATGCGAATGGAATCGAAAAATTGAATACGAGTACGTTCGAGGGTTTAGTGAAACTTCAAGTGCTGGATTTGTCAGCCAATTACTTGGAAGTAATTCATCCGTTGACGTTTCACGAAAATGTGGAGCTCAAAGTGCTCAACTTATCGTACAACGTTTTGTATGAGCTTCCAAGTCTCACGTCAACCGTAACAACGTTGGACGCATCGTCAAATTTGATCAGCGACCTGGATGAAAATTTCTTAGCAAACATGCCGAAAATAAGAAGCGTCATTTTGAATAATAATCAACTACAAAGGTTTCCATCCAAATTGAAGTCCACATCGTTGAAGAATTTAGATTTAAGACGAAATAGATTAGTCGAAGTGTGTAACGACACGTTTCTCCAATTACCACAACTTCTGAGGATTGATTTGTCAGGTGCGAATTTTACCAATTTTTCAACAAGTTTACTACCATACCTGTCTTGAAATCTTAAAGTATCCTTTAAAAAATATAGTCAGTGTCAAAAGTCTATGTATCTCTGTAAATTTCAAATATTTAAAAGAAAATATGGGTTTTGAATATTTTATAGACTTTGATTTATTTATTAATTTTTTGATGACATAGGTTTTGAAAAAATAACAATGTTTCTTTTATGTTCGTTTATTGAAAATATAAATTAGTCAGAACAAAAGAGTCACAATTACGATGGGTGTATTAAAGTATATAAAATTATTCAGAATAATTATTAGGTATACAAAATAATCAGAATAGTTATTATTTGCCTTACTGTAAATGTGTTAATTGTACATAGATTTTCGTAAAAGTATGTTTTCGATTTATATATATTATACATAATGCTTTTTCAAATATATATATTATTTTATTTTAATATATTTATTATTTTTAAACTTATTCTTAATAGTACTTATTTTATACTAATTACTTGTATTTCTCATAATAATAATAAATCTTAAATTTTTAGGAAATCGATTAACAGAAGCTATAAATCCAGAAATCTTTCGAAATAATCCAAACTTGAATACCATAAAATTAGAGGACAATCCATGGCGTTGCGACTGTATTGACTTATACCTGATGTATAGTTTTCTAACAGAACAACCAGCAAAAACCGTAGACCAAAATTTGCTTTGCCAAAGTCCATCAAACGTATCCGGTTATACTTGGCATACTGCTTGTTTCAACATATGGAATAAATCTTTGTACTACAATAAAGATAGAACATGGGGGTTTGTGATGATCATAGTCCTTACGATTGTCGTTTTATCCGGAAGTTTCATATCTATCAGACACATGATGAGGATTAAAAGAAGAGCTATCGAACAAAGGCAACAATTGGAAACTTTAAGACTATTAAGGCAAAGAAGGTAAGAAATATTATTTCAAACGTTCATATTTGACCTACGAATTACTGACCATAAATAAAAACGCGCACTATGAATTTTTATGCATTTATGAAAAATCTGGAGATGCAATATTTCACACAATGTAAATAATATGAAAAATATATAAAGTATTGAAAGTATGATACTCTATATAATATTTAATAAGTAAACTAATTGTTTAGTTAGATTTCACTCTTTCAAGTATCTTCATAAAAATATAAAATTGCATAAATATCCATAGTCTAATAATGAGAAATATGAATATTTTATAATACAAACATAATTACAGTGCATAAGTATTTGAGCACTTTCATATTATTGTAGTATAAAATAAAATTTAAGTGAATCTTTCTAATTTAATCTTAACATATATAGTTAATAAATAACAATTAAAAAATTGCTAATGTCATCATAATTAGAAGCTGAAGACACTGCAGAATAATTTTCAATATCTAAATATGCCCATTATTGAAATTTTAGAACAATTGAAATATATACTTGTAATCATAAATTTTAGATTTTTACAGAATTTTCATAGTATTACATAGTTTTTAAATAGTATCAGCTATTAAATAAAAATATTGAATAATTGAATATGAAACAAAAAATATGAATTTGTCAAAAACATTCATCAATCATAATTGTCGAAACGTAACAAAAACAAACTTTTAATGGAATTGCCTAATTTGAAACGATTGTTCATTTATTTAATGCTTAAAAAGTATTCCAATTTAAATTAGATGTATTTTTAAAATATTACTTGAGTTACTTTTGCACTAAAATGAAACAAAAACAAAAATGCTAAAAGATAATAAAAGAATCGTATTAATAATTTTCTATAATTTTTCTAATATAGTATTGTTCACAAAAAAATTTTAAATTACAATTAAATTATATTTTCATTGTTCCTCAGTTGATAGTTTCCATCTACCAATCTGCAAATTACAATATTAGCTACATGAAACAAGTTAGGAATCTGCTTTATCTTAATAAAATAAATTCATTTAAAAATTTTTATAAATGTAAACAGTAAAACTGTTGTAAGTAATAATCTTATATTTCACAATCCTCTGTAAATTTTTTCAAAGCTTTTTAAAAAAGTTAATTAACTCTAAGAATTTATATTTTATTAAAGTTCTAATTATTACAAAAATTCCAATGGTCTCAACAAAAGTTAACTATTTCAATTGAAATTTTTTCTAAAATTACTGAAATATCTCTAACTTCTATCATTAATGTCATTAAATATTTAATTAATATTATCAATTTCAAGATAAATTAAATCATTTTTATCAAACATATCATTATCTTGAAAATAAAAATTCACCATTAATTATTTAATAGGAACCAAGTTGCACAACAACTGGAAGAAGAAGAGCACATTGAACATGCACCAGAACCAAGAATCCATCCCCTCGAGTTAATTGGGCCACCCAGTTACGAAGAAGCAATACAGATGCCAAGACTTGCTCGATCTTTGGACAATTTGGATGAAATTTCGGAGACGACTTCTGTGCGTGTAATGGGTTCCGCTGATAACATAAGATACAAATATAGAAGAACGAGGAGAACAAAAAAGAGAATACAGAGCGAGGACGATTTACTCAGAAGGGAAGAGCGACGACACGAAAGACTCAGGCGAGAACGAAATAGCTCCGCCGGTAACAGTGAAATCGTTTTACCACAAAGTCAAAGAAACTCTAGAGCTAACACGGCACGTAGAGCCAGAAGGAACAGCGCGATAAGTGATTCCATAGAAACAGGAAGTGAAAGAGTCCGAGCCAAACCGCAAACACCAAGTTCAAGAAAAAGGAGACAGAGATACACGGTTTACGACGGGCACTCGACCGATGATGAAGACTCGGACGTTGCACCAGTTGGTTCAAGTAGATCGATTATCATCAGGGAACTTCGAAGAGAACCGAAAAGCGGTTACAGGGAACCTGTGGTAGAACAGGATTCCTAAATATTCATATGTTATCGATTAAGATTCCACTAAGACATTTTTTCAAATGAAATATTGTTATATTTATATTTTTAATAATTTTATTTTAGAGAATGATTATAATTATTACTATAATCATTATTCTACCATTGAAAGATATTAATTAAAAACTGATTGCTATCAATAAGAAAATCATGTTGTGATAATATACTTTCATTGTTCTTTCGAACGAATTCTTTTTTCGCTGCCATTGAACTAATTAAATAAATAAGTAAAATAATTTATGCAATAAATGATATATCGCTATATATGTGAATCATTATGTTTGAAGATGACAAGTCTTCATTTGTTGGTCTCATGCATCCTAATCGTTATTTACTTATTTTTTAAAACGCAAAGCTTCTTTATTTCTTAATGTGTTCCTTTTTCAAATTTGTAATTACCATTTAAAAATAAATTTTTATCTTAAAATCTGAGGATTATTTTCATTGTCGACACTAAAAGGTTTAAAGTATATGTAGTTCATTTTCAATATTGTTCATAATCATCCGTCATGTTATTGTCAAAACATTATCATACCATAATAGAATGATTTTTATGTTTAACATTGAGTATTGCACAACTTTTAACTTTTTATTTAACTTTTCATTCATCTTTTGACGGTGAATGAAAAGTTGCAGGAGATTTGAATAATTAAATTATTTAATATAATATTAATAACTTATACTAATATAATAATACTAATACTAATACTAATATAATAATATTAATGACTCTTAATATTTTAGTTTTTACTACCCATCTAAATATTTGAAGGAAATGAACTATTCTTAAAAAAATGTATGTGCAATTACTTTAAAATAAAACAAATTATATTTGTTAATCATTAAAAACTCCATGAACAGTCTAAATAAATTGGGTATTTTAAAGGGTAACTACTGAAGTTTTATAAATATAACAATATGGTTAATGAAGGGATGGTATCAACATCGAACAAAAGACAAATGTGTATTTTATAAATATCAATATTTTATTTCGCATCCAGTGTTGAAAATTATAAACGCTTGAAAAATATATCGATATAATTGTTTCAACTATATATAGCTATCATACAGTTCGTTTCTATATATTGTATATATTGTATATTATGTATAACAATGTATATTTCATAAATGTTGCATGGAAGAAACTTATCTTTAGGAAACAAAATTAATGGTGAAAATAACGGTGACATGTCAATGATACCACGAACGATCGAACGTTACCCGTTCCTAGCATTTCAATGCTAATCACAGTAACAACAAAATGATTCTTCTTGTTGCACGTTCAATTGAACACGCATAAACAAAATGCTTCTTGTTTCCACAATTAATCTACTGTCATAGTACATAGACGCATAGATTTTCTTTGGAAGTAATTTTTACAAGGATTCATTGTCTTAATTCATTAAGGACCAACATTGCATTAATATAACATTTTATTTACAATTTGTTTTAAATTTTCAATTTATATTATCAAATCCCATTTCTTAATACTGATAACATAATATCGATAATTATTATTAATATTGATAATATAACATCAAATTCTATTTTTGAATACGTCCTTTTATATTTTTAAATGCTGCCTTTTAATATTAAAGGAAATTTCAAGGTCTCGTTTAATACTTTTTTATTATCATGTTTTCCATATAGATTTATACAATTTTATGAAATTTAAATAAGTTAAAGAATTTACAATTGATCAAGTGATAAATTATTGCTTGGTCTTTAATGGATTAATGACAAATACTTCGATATTTTACGCATTTGATGTACAAAAACTTACAGGAATTTGGTATAGAAGAATAAACGCAGACAAAAGTGATGAGAATATTTGTGTCAAGGCTCCAAGATTCCGAGAATTATCTTTAGAAATATTTATTTTTCATTTCGAAAGAATTCGATAGTTTTACATTGGATATTATCCAGCAAATTCTTTTTAGCCAACTAATTTTTCAGATTTTTACTAATTTCCACGACAATTCCCATTACTTTGTATGCATTGCAACAAATGTTTAAACAATATTTGATATGATATTTGTGATGTCGCTTTTACATTAATAGATTATTTTATAATTTCATTATTTATAATTTAATAATAAAATTTTTGTACAAAGATTGTTTAAAAATTTCTAAAAAATGCAAACAATTGGTCTTATACGAACTCATAGACAGTTGACATTTTATATTTAAATTGTCGAAGTTTAATTCCAATTTCAAATATATTATATGCTTTCATATATAAATTATGTAATTATATTACCTTATTTCATATCGATATTTTATTTAACATTATCGGTCCGACGATTAAAGTTATTAGAAGAGATGATATGATTAATCTGGAATGATTATTATAAATATATAGAATGTACATTTTATATAACTTAATTTTTTTTGTTATTATTATTAAGTGTTAAGTTTTGCTAGCGAAAATCAAATTCTTTTATATTCTCCCAAAGGAACATTTAACACTAGAACTATTAGAATGATCTCTGGCCATTTTTAATGATCCAGTTTTTGAGAAATGAATGATTTTTCGAGAAATATCGAGAAATGTCGCTTCTTAAAATCTTTTAAAGTCTTTTATATATATATATTAAAGGTCTTTTCCTGTATTATTATATTATTATATAGATTTCAAAATCTATTAATTATAATTTTATTAAAAAATTATATTAAAGTTTCTCTTCTTTTTTCTAAATTAAACAGTCATTAATTTCTTTGATACAAATTTTATATTTTAGTCGTCGATATAGTTCTAGTGTTAATATCACAAAACAAAACATTTGTCTACTATTAACATATTATAGTATACTTCAAAAACAATTTACCAAATATTTTTTAGCCACAATTAAGGCCAAATTTTAATATTAAATATTTGTTAATTTTTATGTACATTAATTTTTTAATTAATATGTTCCGCTAGCGAAAGTCCAATTCTTTCGTATTCTTCCAGAAAGACATCTGATATCACGAAACGAAACATTTGCTTGTTATCAGTATAATGAAATTAGATTACGAATATTTATACAATTTTAAATTTCACTAAAGAAATAGAACCAAAATAAAAATTTCTCTCATCCTTTAAATATTATATATGCTTTAGATATTTCATATATTTTTATTATAATGCGCATAATGTGCATTATGTGCATTATATGCATTTGTTTGTGTTTAAGTTTCTTATAAGTGCATAAAAATCTGCAGTCCAATTGTAATATCTTAAGAACAATTTGAGGAAAACTATATATAGACTTATATAAATCAGTTAAGGAAAATTTTTAATATAACGTTAAACATTATTCTTATAATTCTAGTATCGTTCATGTTACTATATTGAAACAATAATGGTATACATCGAGTTCAAAGAATTCCAGTGGAACTTATTGTACCAAAATTCCATCTGAGTTCATACAGGAAGGAAGATGCTTAAGAGAACTGACTAGTGTGCTAATATTGCATAATCGTATATAAAACGTATCAAATAGTTTTGCATCCACAAACCTCATACAAACAACGGAAGTATTACTATATACGACTATTATTTGCAAGTATGTACAAACAACTTCGTTTCGCTCATTTCTCCTATACCAAGTAAACGAATCGTCACTGAACTATACGCTACGAAAATGGACTTTCACTTACTGGAGCAATCCGTTTCACACTCGAAACATAATGATAGTATAATTCTATGTCTCACTTTATCATAAAAATGCACTTAAATCAAGGCCCGGATCCGGATAAGGATTTAGGAACACTGACGGCATTATGAATTCTATAAACTGGAACACACGATCACACCAATCTCCCCCGCGCTTTCGTTTTGACACTCTGGTTAGATTCGACTCTTTTCATCCACTTAACTCGCATTGAATTTACCTCATGGCGTCTTGACTAGATTCTCACCAGCCGCTGTTCTCGTGATGAGTATAGGCGTCCTTGGCACGCTATCGGGATTTTCTTGCAAGGTGATCTTTACTCTCTGAGCACCAGGACTTAAGGGAGGTTGGTTCGCTTCTGCTAGCCGAAAACTCGGGCTGCTATTGGTTACTGGATCTACCGAGTTTGTCTGTAACGACAACGAATCATCTTTGGGGCAATTTCCATCCTGACCGATCGTTTCTTTGATCTTTTGATCGTTCTGCGGGGTGACCGATCGTGGTGGTTTTAACGGTTCTGTACGATCGGAAGTATCATTTGGAGATTTCGGTATTTCCGCCGTAACACGGTAGTCATTGGAACTCTTTATCTCGTCATGATCCGTGGCATCGTCGACCAAAGGTGCGCTCTCCACGTTTCCATTCGAAGCTATTTTCGGTTGCGTGGAATTTCCCGTTTCCAGTAAAGCTTTCTGCATGTCTCTCAACTCGGTTCCATTCTCAACGTCACTGCGTTTCCTTCTTTTCCTACAAAAATCACCTTTATAAGCCGCAAACCCTATAAGAGTTGCTAAAATCGCCAATAAAGCGGCTAGGACAACATAAGAACCCATTCCTTTCTTCGATTGTTTCGCTGAAGATACCTCGGCCAGACCATCGTCCGTATCTTCCTCGTCCATTTTAACATTGCCCAATTTTGTCATGTCATGCAACCCGTTGTCCATTAACTCAACTCTACTTGTAGGTGTTGGTATGTCAGTTTTGATAGCCACTTCAGTGGTACCTGGAACTGTTTCGTCGAGGCCGACATTCTTCGGTACGATATCATTTCCAACCGCGGATTTGTTAACAAGTGATTCCTCCTCTTCGATACCTTTAGTCGAAGATGCGTCGATAAATTGTTCTTCTTCCAAGTTAGGTTCCTCCGATGGTTTCGTTGAACCCATAAATAAATGATAAAGCCCCTCGAAGAAAGAATCTTTCTTCTCGTCGTTATCCGTTTCGTAAACTTGTTCACCAAAACCTACTCCCGTTCCGGATCCTTCTCCAGAACCGTCTTCTTCGTCGCCGGAACCTTCCGTCGGATAAAATAAGCCATCTTCGTGGACTTTCTTTCTCTCTGTTGTAGTCTCAACCGTAATTAACTTAACTTTCTCCTCGGAATCAAAGAAAATCTCGTCGTCCTTGCTGATTGTCGATTGAACAGTTTCTGTCGTTTGAATAGGAAGTTCTTGTTCTTCCGTAGCAGCAGTAACTTCTCGTGACGATTCAGTTGTTTTGGATTCAGTGGTAGCAGAAATTTCTGGGAACGATGTTTCGTCTTCGAGCTTTGGAGCTTCGGCAGTAGAGCCTTCAATCACATATTCCGTGCTGTCGTCTTCTTTATCGAATGAATCTCCAGAGCCATAATCTTCCAACGAGTCCTTGTACTCCTGATCATTCTGCATCTCACGATCTTGCTCCTCAAAGTGACAAATGACCGCGGTGTCTAACTTGAACAACGACGTTCCCTTCATGTTTCTCGGATTGGCGCAAAAGACTTTTTTCGAGACTTTCACGCCCCTTTTCACGATTAGGTCTCTCACTTTAAGCGTTGCACAATCACATTGCAACGGATTACCTTGTACGTCCAGGTGTTTCAGAATCTTTAAACGAGCCAAGGCTGGCGGCAAATGCCGGAGATTGTTCTTACGAAGGTTTAAACTGTGCAAATGATTTAAACCATCCAAAGAACCTAACTCCAAACGTTCGATATGATTTTCAGCGAGATTTAAGCTCCTTAGATTCGTCAATTGACTGAAACTTCCTGGCTCTATTTGCTTAATAGCGCCTCCTGAAAGATCTAAATGTCGAAGGCTAGTCAAATTGACGAAAAATCCCGAATGAAGGATAGATATTGGTATGGAAGCCTTCAATGAATCAAGGTCGTAGGTCTTGATATATTTGACATCTTCGAGTTCGTGACAACGAGCTACTGTACCATTCTGCAGGATGCAGAGCCCACTGGTCAGTCCAGAATAACTCAAGAGGGCTAAGAACAACGGCAACAGTGTTCTTTGCATCTTTTAATCTGATTCACCTGGGAAAAAGAAAATAACATTTATAATTTCAGTTTATATTTTCAGTTTTCAATGTTCTTTTCATTGAAGATGAAATGTTATAGATATTAAAATTAAAATTAGTATGTTGTTATTAATGTTATAATGTAAATTAAGTTAATAATTCTACAATCAATACATAGTTTACATTATAGTTACATAAATATTATAATAAAAATTATAATAAATATATACGACATATATATAATACACGTATACTATATACATATATAATATATACTATAATACACATGATAAATAAAATTTAATTCATTAAAGACTGATAAGTATTTTGTTATAATATCAAAAATATATAAATTTCTTTAAATTTTGCAAAATTACACACGTTCGCTAGAGAAATTAATAACAAAAAAGGTATTGAGCGAATTCCTAGAATTCCATTTAATAACTAAAATATTAAAAAGATAAAATCGCAATATAAAATGATTTAGAAAAAGATGTAAATGAAATACGATAATCCTTAAGAGATTAATTTAATATTTACATTTAAGTATAATATTAATATTAATATTATCGAAAAAGACAGAAACGGAATGTGTATGTTGAAATAAAACAATATGAAGTAGAAAATTTTTAATAAAATTTTAATAATCAATAATAAAAAAATTTTAATTGTATGATTTTATTAAAACTTTTACAATTATAACTTTTAATTAAAAAGAAATATAAATTTATAAGTTATACCTATTCGAAATTATTGCTTCTTTAAAAATCTCAACGTTTAATGGATATTTTAACGTAAATAACCATGAATCATTCGTACTATTATCTGAAAAGTTTTATTAAGTACTTTATTATCATCACTTATTTACGAAGAACTTGTAACGAAGAATTGATAAGAGGCGATTTATTTTATACGGCAAGCTCATATTTTTTTCTATCTTAAAAATAACTATACGATATAATTTTTTAATTAAAATTTCATTAAAATTTCATTAAAATTCATTTTTGAATACACCATACATTATTATAAAGAGATATTGTTACTCATATATATGCTTTATTATTTATTGACAATTTATTGAAAATTTATAATAAAAATCATATAACATTGCTATATTAAATTATAGTAAGTTTTTCTATAAATAATTTTCTAAAGATGCACGTATGAACCTCAAAAATAAGATTTGAATTTATTTGCTTCCGACAACTTGTTAATTTCCAAATTTATCATTTAAACAAAAACTAAATAAAATTTTTATGCAGTTTAAAATTCAGGTTTTCATCGAAAAGAGCTCAAGATATCTACGTCAGAAACACGCGATGAAATGGCAACTATATGATTTATATCGGTGAATATCACATTTAACTACTAAACCATCGTCGCAACCAATTCTATTGACGAACCGAAGGCAAGACTATTAATTGGAATACGATTTGCATTATTTTGCATCTGCGTTCACGACATTATGTGACGTCATCAATAATTTGAATTTTTTTTTTATCGTAATCACATCAACTTATGACTGTGATTGCATATACTATCCATCCTTTGTTTTGTCTCGGTTTCTTCGCTTACCATTATGAACATCAAATGCTATCGAGTGGAATAATTCAAATAATCAATGCTTGTCTTTATTTCACGCAATGTATAAAATCCAAATACTAATACGAATTAAACGTACAGATAAAACTTAATGGAAATCCAAACATTTCTGGAATGCAATCTGATAATATTCAAATATTAGAGAATCTTAATATAGAATCTTAATATAGAAGTCATAAAAATTTTAAATTTCTGAAATATGATTGCGCAAATAAATCCATCGAATAAATAATTTAATTGTGGATAAAACTATGTGATAAATGAAATTGCAATAAAAAGAAATGTTTTAATGTTAATAAATGTATCTAGAATAGAATCTGAAAATGTTCAAATATTGACATAGAAATATTTTATATAGGTACTTATGGACACCTAAAAATATTTATTACAGAAATACAATGAATTATATTATATATTATAGAAATATGTCTAAATAATTTATAACTAAATTAAATAATTTATAATTTAATACGTAAAATAATAATATAGTTATATAATTTAGTTCTAAAAATAAAATTACATGATGAATGAATTTCTAATAAAAATATGTTTGTCAATATCATGTATTATGAAAGTGTGCGCCGCTCATCGGGTAATTTCATAATACATGATAACTTACATTCTAATTCTAGATTAAATAATTAAATCCAGATTAAATAATAATTTAAATTATTGATTTCAAGATTAATAAATTTGGAATAATACTATACTTGCTGATAAATTGTAACAGAAAAGTGTGCGCTACTCATTGGACATTTCCATAAATAATTTATAATTTAATTTTAGATCAAATAATATAGTTCCAAATGAAACTACATAATAACTGAGTTTCGAATAAAAATGTATTTGCTAATGTATCGTATTATGAAAGTATTATGAAAGCGGCAATTCATCAAATGATTTCATCGATTTAAAGTCCAAATGACGTATGCATAAGTACATTTGTGACAACTTTTGTGCCTAATGTGCAAACAGACGCAACAGTTAATAGAACTTAAGTAGTTACGTACTGCGCAAAGCAGTCTCGAAGTGTTCTGTTCGGATGCGTGGGTGGAGGTAGGTCATGGCTAATAAGGCAGGAAGGTTTTAATACAGATTCTGCCATCCTTTCTCTAAGAGAGATATGAAAATCAAATATCTGCTCGTCCAATTATTTATTGATTCGAGAACGTTCCTTTTCCAAATAAATTTCAGCACAGAAATATATATTTGTGATAAAATACTCACGATTTATTTGATCAGACGTAGCTCTAACTGGAATGTGATTCCGAAAGCATCTGCAACAGAGTGAAAAATATAAAAATAGAATTTTTAAACGGATATGTATGTGAGCACTATAATTAAACTGTTTGATGTTTATGCAATTTTATACATTTAAAAACTATAGAAACAGAGAAAACAATTATAAAGAATTATTTCAGCTATTAAATATTATGAGAAATATTGTATTGCTTTGAGTATTTCATCTCAAAATTTTCTATAAATGCATAAAAATACGCAATCTATTTATAAATTAATAATAAATAACAGAAATCGAGTAATTATAAGTTTGAAATTCTTATTTTGAACTTACAGTGCAAAGAACGTTTATAACAGGAATTATGAGTGAAATATAACAGGAATAATCTACTAAATATTCGTAACATATTCGTAACAATAATTTTGTTCTGAAAAATATTTTACATTTATTTATTGCTTTTGTCAAATATAATTTTGCTTTCTTTTTAAAAATGTGATATGTTTCCTTACCATTTATCTCTTAAACATATTTTCATCCATTAATATAAATAAAAATTCATTTTATTTATTATACTGTTAATAATAAGTTTAATTAATTAATTCTACTAATAATAAATTAATTTTCATGCTACTAATAATTTAAATATTTTACATGTTTTATTTGTTTGATAATTGAATTTTATATCAGTAGACTATTTAGATATTTTATCTGCTACTTTATTGCTATTTTATTTTGATATTCTACAGATATTTACTAATTTAAGCATTTTATATTTATACATATACTTCGTATTTTATATCCATAGTTTCTGCATATCATATACATTCTGTAAATTAATATACCCTTAAATTTTTTGAAAAAACATGAACATTCAATAATTATACTAAATGAATACAAGTATTAAGACAACATAAGCAACAAACTTTATCGAAAACGTTGTTGAAAGTTGTCAAAAATCAACAATGATATTAAAAATTCCTGGATTATAGATCATATAAATCTTGATATCTTGCATGACATGGATTCTTTTCGAATGACGTAAATTTTCGATAAAAATATTCAATTCGCAGGAAAGTGACGAACGAAAATAAATGAAATCGAGAAACAAGTAACAGAGTAGTAAAATTTTGTATGTTAAGAAAATATTATAATAATGATGTGTTTATATAACATTAAACGACTTTCAATTATTAATTTTAGTTAAAAATTATATTTAATTTAAGTTTTTTTATTAAAAATTTTAATAAGTTTTCATATTAAAAATTCTATATATACGTATTAAATACTTATATATGTAATATTATATATATATATATATACGTGTGTGATATGTGATATGTATAAAAGCATTTTACATTTATTTCTTACTTTTGTCAAATATAATTTTTCTTTCTCTTTAAAAATGTGTAAATAAACATTGTAGATATATTTAATATTATATTATATCGAAACAATTAAGTTCTATACATTAAAATAAAAATTAAATATATATTAAAATATAATAATAATGTATATTTAAAAATTTTTAATAATATTTTCGTGTCAGGAATCATGTTTAACTAACATCAGTTACATATATAATGGATTCCATAAAGGAGGAAAATAATAATACTGCGAAACTCGTACTACAGAAATTGCATAAGTGAAAATAGTTGTCTCATACACATTCAGTAAAAGTTATTACGCGAGAACTACAATTACTGGACAAGTTTCTCTTAATGCTTAGTAACGTTGTTACATGTTGTATATTTCTCATTTCTCACCGCAAGATAACTTCTTATTTTCTTTTTTTCTTTAAGTTCAAAGAATAAAGTAGTAGTATCTGTACAGCGTACGCGCTATATACCTACTAACCTATATACTGATATACAGAAAATTTTTCATTATCTACGTAAAAAAAACATATGTAGTCGAAGTCAATTAATATTTTCTCAAGGTCTTACAAAATCATGAAACAAAATATACACATTAAATCCGTTACTTGCAGTTATTTGATGATTACTAAACATATGTTACATAATTTTATGTAAATTTTTGTTGGATATTATTGAAAATCGAAAGTAATGCTAAATTTTATTATTAATTAGAAATAACAAATTTTTGTGCAAGTTTCCATTGTTTCATATTATTTATAAAACATTGTTTATTCTGATTTTTTTTGCCATATACTATAGAAAATGTATGTAGCTACTTTTTTGTAACCACAACTCTTTAAATTTTCATATTAAATGGTTTAAAAAAACTTATTAATATTATTAATATTATTATACACATTAAAAATTTATTAGCCATAAATATAATTATGATTAAAATAACTTATTTAGAGAATACCAATTGTTCATGAAAGTATATTTATAGAATATTTATAAAAGCTTTTTACGAATATATTACTTGTGGTATATAAATCATTTTGAAATTTCATTAACATTGTAATAAATCTCAAATATCATAATTACATTAATCAAATTTAAAATAAATATTAATATATATATTAATTATTATATATATATATTAATATATATATATATAAATTACATGATATTTAGTACAAGTTAAACGATTATAATTAATTATATCAATACGCCTGAATATTTAATAAAAATATCTTTGTCATTTACCATATGCTCGAGATGATCACGGTATATTAATTTCTTACTAAATATATATGTTATAACAAATATCTTGTAATTTTTATATATATATTCAAATTGATTTCAAGTTTGCTAATATAATCATAACTAAACTGTAGACTTTTTGCATTATATATTTGTATAAAATTATACAATTATTATATATTAAATTCATTTAATATGAAAAAATATAAAAAATTTGTAAAATATATATAATGCTTTTTACAATATTTAGTCCATCAATTTTCTATCACAGTTATATTTTTTAGATTGTATGTATTTTCAAAAATATACATTTACATAAAAATTTACCATTTCACCATTTTATTAATAAAATTTCAAAATGTACATGTGCAATGTATACGTATATACAAACATTCGAATACTTTCGAAACTACTTTATATTATATAATTCCGGTTTTCACTTAATCTACTACAATCTCATGAATCTTATTCATGTTCCAACATGATGACCCTTGAGATAAAATTTAACTTTAAAAACCAAGAAAGAAACGATACCTTGTAAACTGACAGCATCTATTATGATTCCTAGAATCTTTTGAATATGTAGGTATTCCCCAGTTCGAAGTACTAAGAACAGTCATCGTAAATCGAAAAGTTGGAAATAATCATTTATAATTCATTATTAATTAATCAGTTCAAATAACTTACTTTTGTTTATTCTTAACCTTCAGTTAGTTATCTAATATTTAGTTATCTAAAAATACCTTATACTACTACTACTATTTAATAATTTGTCACTTAAAATGGAAAGACAGAACTTAATCTTCACAAATTGTTGGACTTAATTAAATTATGCTCAATAATTTGTTTCTTTATTGTGGTAAGTTACTAATTTATACATATAGGAAAATTGTTGTAAAATTGCACTTGTTTACATTTCTAAGATAAAATTATGCCTAAAAATATTTCTATAATGTATACAATTTCCAAGATGTGACCTTAATCGCTTTGTAAACGCAACATTGAAGAAAACTTACACTAAAAATTATAAACATTAGAATTCACAAATGATTAACTTATAATTTTCCATAAAAATCTTATATATTTATAACAGTGTATTTTTAGAGATTTAAATGATTTTTAGTAGTATTTAGACAGGAACTTATGTGCTTTCTCGTATTCTAAATTTTTCTACTACAAACTTTATATTTTAGTCGTCGATTGTTCTGTTAAAAATAAAATATTTCTGATATTAAAAATTTAATCTATACTACTTTTTTCCAGTTTCTCAAAATTATATAACTGTTAATCTTTAAGTTGATAAAAATTTTATTGAAAAATATATCGCAATGTATTAATCATAATTATATAATATATAAATTTAATAAACTCAAATTCTTTACATCACTTTTAACAATGTAACGTATGTCAAATCTCTATTTGCAATACAAAAACATCACTGTATGGCACTTACTAATTGATCGTCAAAAATCCTGAATACTAAATATCAAAGGAAAAAAGAATTTAATATTCAAACAATTCTAAACAAGAAAAAAATTTTAAACCACATTTTATATTTCCTAAAATGGCTTATGTTTTAGATTTCATTTATTAATATTACTCAAAATATATAGATTATATTAATATAATTATTGCATGTACATATCTATCATTACATAAACACAGTATACATCTATCATTAATCTAAGCATACTATTGTATAAACTTTTAACAATATAACACAAAATCATGTAGTATATTAACATAAATAAATTAATTAAATTAAAGGTGTTATTTCTTAGGAATTTATGTTTCTAAATCGGCAAGAAGTAGTATGTAACACTATAATATGATACATCAAATAACGTTGTACAGAGAAACATCATTTCAGAATTAATTTAAATCTCATTCCTCAAACTTTATGAAGCATTTTAAATTTTTCTTAAATGAAGCAATTAATACAAACGTCATACAATGACGCATGCAGCAAATTTTCAAACTTGATTTTCTCGAAAACGAAGTCTCAAATCAAAAAATTTTATTCCATATTTTTTCTTTATTTTTTCCATGAGAAATCATTTCGTGCTTGCCCGTGCATGTTATTTATTTATTTGAACTCCTATCGTATGAAAGAAGTATCACTAGTAGAAAGCAGAATTAATGAATTTTAATTATTGAACCATTTGTTCCATGACAGATTCACATAAACGGAATTTTACTATATTATATCGCTCCCATTTAGCCAAAACTGTGATATCGGGAATAAAAGAAACAACGAGGAGTCGATTCATTCTAAATTGTACAATATGAATAACAGGAAGTGACAATGATTCCGAGTGATCACTTGACCAGGAAATTCAAAGTCGTAATGAACGTAGCAACGAGCATACACACCCGCTTTTGGTCATGATTCGACTTTTTGCCGGTTGCGCACTTAACGGTA